ATATGGTAGAAAGCTGAAAATTAAAAATTATTATGCAAATTAGGTAATCATTATGGGTGTATATAAACCCCCAAACTAATTTGACCATCACATTGTCTTAGAGTATTTATGTACAAAGATTCATTGAAATAAGATGATAAGAACTTAAGATTGTGATGGAAAAGCTGAAAACTTAATAATTATTATGCAAATTAGGTAATTATTATGCACAGATTTTAAACCAAATCTAATTGAATTTGCCTATTAGCCCAGAGTATCTATGTGCTAAGTGTCATTGAAATCAATTAAGTGGTTCTCTAGATATCAGTGGAACTAACACACACATACATACACACATACAGACAGACACAAAGACTTGCATTGTATACTTAGCACACAGGAGTCAAAAACACACACTGAAGGAGGTAGACACCTGCAGACAGTTATTTTTAGGGTAGTATTATCTGCTGAAATCTTAAAAATGCAGTAAACAGACCATTTTCCATTCACTTCAAGACCCCTAGATACAGTGTATGTGTGATATCAAGCGTAAAAACAGAACAAACAAAGGTCGTAGCGATAAAGAAAAGTATTATAGCAACGTCAAAATATTACACAGGATGCAACAAAGTATTTTGGGCTATTTCCATGCTTATTAATGTGCTATACACATTTTTGTGAGTCAATTTTTGTTAAGAGTATTTCGACACAATATTCCCTTTTGTAAGATCCGCATTTTCACATTGAACTATAAAAGCTGAAATTTAAATTCAAAATCCAACATTTTGAGCAGATGTTTGGCCTGCAACTTTCATACACTACGCAAGATCTCGCAGTAAATACAAAATCACCTATTGGGCCATGAACTGAAATCAGTAGTCATGGTGTATGTGAGTTTCACATGTCTGAACTTTCTAATTTACCAGGTATACTGTAAAACCATTTATTTTCACTATTTTGATGTTTTGAGCAAGTTATAAGTTCACTAACTTGACAGAGAGACAATAAGCGCTATTGATAATCTACATGTTCACATTGATTTAACTTGGGGGATTTTACGTATCGACAAAACTAGAAAAATTAAAAATCAGGGAATAATTACTGTGCTTAAAAATATATCCGACAATAACTCAACTAAAGAAGACTTACCATCATTCTCTGGTTTGATATGTGCCAATCGTAACAAGTCCCTATGAGACCAACCATTTCTTTGCTTGTACTTTGTAACTAATAAGGCGAGTTTTAATGCGTCTTTCTCAGTATACCATTTCCGTATTGCTCTCCGCTGAGCACGCCCCCATCCAGTACCACGGGTAAGCTGACTCAGCTTCTCAGCTAGCTCCACAAACATAAACAGGTGTGTGGGGATGCGGCAAACATCAGAAAGTGCACTGTATGCCGCCTGCTTTGTTTTAATATCGTTGCTTCTTGCACACATCGCTAAAGCGAAAATCACAGGATTTTGTTTCGCTGTTCTGCCCTCAACACTAAAAGTTACGATTTCTTTCACGACCTCCTCACCTTTACCACTATCTATAAGCCGATCAATACATTGTGCATTCTCCTTGCCAAGTTCTTTTTCCCCAACGTAGTATGACCCTCCTTCCGCTCCCAAACATAGAAACCTACGTAGTCTGTTGAAATCATCAACTTTCCACACGTATCCTCCAGCACTGTCCTGTACTTGGTCGTTCATCAGTCTCTCACTTTGACGTACAGTTCTTTCTTCATCCTCCTTTTCCGCCATGACGACGTAATGTTCTGTCAGTAGACGCTTAATACACTTTAAGGTTATTAGAAAAGCTTGATAACCATCGTCTTCAAAATGACCGCTATAAATCACAGGTTAGTTGTATATCTGCAGTTTTTCATACAAATTCTGAATTTGTTGGCACCTACAAAAACAGTGTTGTTCTAGAAAAGAAATAAAAATGTAATGAACATAATCATATGAACAACTATGATATCCGTGTGTACTCATTGTTTCAGCTGATGTAATATCATGCATTATTCAATCTACACCTCGCAAAATCTTCTGATCCAGTGTCAAAAAATGTCAACAGCTCACAAACCCAAAGATGCTAACTTTTCTTTGAGATTTTGACAGTGTTGGTGACTTTGTAGTAAATCATTTAATAATTTTTTTAGTGAAAAAATTACTTTCACTCATTGTTTACTTTAGAACAGTTCTATGATTACATTTGCTATTGTGAAGATATTCTAGAAATGTATGCATACAAATTGTTTGCAAACTTAACATCCATATTCTACAGTGAAAAGCAGTAAACTGTAAACAATCATCAGCTTTCATTTAAATTCAAAAATGTAATAATCCTCGGGGGCGGACATCTGGGCATTTTCACCGCTTAGCAACCCTCGCAGTGAAAACAAAGGCCAAAAACTCGCAGAAAACGGTACTTTGGGATGGTTGTTGAGACTCCCCTGAACACTGTAACAAGATTAGCCCTACATGTGTAACATATATAAATTTAGTTATTCAGGATTACTTTGAAGTTGAGTTTGTGTTGTTTTCTCGAATTTTCACCGACTCGACCAGCGTTCCACAGCAGCGCGTCTTAGCAAAGTGGAACGTCTTCGCCCCCGAGGATAATTGGTTTGAGAGCTCCACATTGTTTATGCCAATAATGTGTATGCAGGCCTTCAAGTTACATAGCAACTGTGACCGCCTACTTATTCAAAACCAAGGGTTTGCTGATTGGATGATCTTGAACTAACTAATTAATACTAATTAGAACTTGGGATGTTGTCATCATATCATTTCTGGTTTGGTCAATTTGAATCCTTCCAGCCATTTTGATTTACAAATAAAAATTTGTATTCATAAAACATTCATAACATCCCCAGTTTTATGTCTTTCACTGTACTTTGCATTCGCAATTTATGATCTATTTTGATTCAGTAATTCGACCAATCAAATCACATGATATGTTTGACAGTAATCCTCGCTTCAAATATATTAGTGTATTCCACAGCAACAATAAGTGTGAGTCTTGACATACATGCACTGTGCTCTCCAACGCTGCCCCAGACCTCTCTCATTCATTCGCTCATGGTCAGTTTAAAGATTTTCTGGCAGATGCAGCTAGTTACAAATAAACAAAGGTCATTCGCCTTTAATACATACTGGTATGCTGCCGATACAGTATGCCTGAGCTGTGAATAACGTGTCGTATTGCGAGGAGCATTATTGACATTTTTTTTTTCTCGAGCGTGTAACCACGGTTACTTGTTTTAATTTTTTAAGAGATAATTCAACAATCGATGATTTCTACAAAACTCCAACGTGGCATGGTTTTATGATACATCCAATAAGACTGGTTGTTACATCTTCTCACGCAGCCAGGTCTGAATACCAAGGTGTACATGATTGGCGAGTGTCCCACAGGAATTAAGTAATGTTGTCATATGTTGCTCTGTCCCAGGCGTCCGAGGAGATGCCCCAGAATGACACCAAGGTATATGAAACGACACGATGGCGAAAACAGTAAGACCGTTGCGTTACCTTCTCGAAACAAAGAATTGATACATCGATCCCAGATCAAGCTTTAGTCCGGACAGCGAAGGGCGGAAACGCCACGATTTTAGATTCCAAACAACGGTGGAATTCCCCCGCATTTAATTTGTTGAACATAAATTATGAAGAATAACATTGTTGAATTCGGTTTTTATATGTTTCATATACTCGCACGTATGCAGACAGAATAAATAGCCATACACTTACTTAGAAATTCTTGTCCGAAAAGGTTGTTCAGCAACGTACACAGAAGTCATTTACTCATTTATGTCGACGAAATGACGTCATGTAAACTTTGACATCCAGGGCACTTATCATCGGAGGGCGCAATTCCTTCTGTTCGCGAAAAAATAGAGTAGGGAAAACATATTACTAGTAGAAAACGAACCAGCCTTCTGCGACTGACCGTATACCAGATCAATACCGGAGGTCATCGTAGATCTAGTAGCTGTTTTACATAATATTTTCTCGACTGACTTGTTTTATTGCTAGCTTTATAACTTTTTAGAATCATGTTTCGGATGTTTACCGGAGCCAGCAGTTGATTTAGTGATACAGTATTACTACACTGCATACAAAGCTTGGAAGATAGTTTTCACACTTACTAGCAATATTTCGCATACTTAAAAATGTTGAGGAATATTACTACAAAATGTTCGTTGTAACTGGCTTTAAAAAAAAACGTGAGATAGGTAGGGTGAATGATCTTAAAGAATGATCTGGTACGCATGTCTGTGAAAGAAAACGCGTTAAAAGTGTGTTTTTTAAAGAAAAGCACGTTAACGCGCGTTACGCGTTTAGGGTTACCATTTCAGTCAAAATAGACAAAAAGGGTGTCTTTTCCGGTACTGCCAACGTGATAAGGGTGGTTATTTTTTAAATGAGATTATCGTTTTTTGTTTTTGTTATTGCTTTAAGGAATTCAATGATCGCAAAAACGAGGAAAACGTCCGGCCCTCGATCACAGGCGATCACGGCATATGGCCAACCCGTGCTTACACTGAAGGGTTAGAAAGCTCAAATATCGCGAGATCAGGCGCGAGTTCAAGGTGTGTGATCTTTTAGCTTTCCAACAGTGAAAATGGTACGAAATTTTGACCTTTTAAAACGTGTTTAGGGTCATTTTGAAAACCCCTTTCTCAGACATGGGTTCCAGGTATTTCCACAAGCCGGACCCCCGGAAACGTCTCCTAACCCCACCGCATGTAATTAGTATCACTTCACATCAAAGTAGAAGTCTATGGTCTGTATTACTGCATTTCTAGTCATTTGAAATAAGAAGTGAAAAAATTGCCTGACATGTCGCGTGAGTTGCGCCCACCGCGGTTCTCATGTCTACATA